GGGGGGGGAATACAAAAGAACACAACACCTATCCTAATGCTGGAGACAGGGGTTAGTCACAATAGAAAAATCACATTTTGGAGCAATTGTTCTATTTGACTTCTAACTTTTACATTTGCAAATTTACATTTCCCTACTCTATTCTCTGCAGCAACAAGGCGTATGAAAGGTGTATAGAGCTAAAAATACATCAATGTAAGGCATGGAGGGTAATAGATAAAAACACACAAACAAGCAAAAAAGAAGCTTAGCTGCTCAGGACTGAATTAAGCAGCATAAACTTGTTTGGATTTGTCCCTTGAGCTCTTCTTAGAGAATGTTCAGGATATTCAGAGTTAAATAGAATCCAAGAATATGGATTAATACAGCTAATACAGTTTAATTTGTTCTAATTAAACATCAATCTTGCTTTGACCTTTGTACTGATCTCAGTACTAAGAAGTACCTCATCCAATTTCCATTTTGGGAAGCAACAGATTAATTAAATTGACTGTTTTATGAAAGAAGCAACTGAATTTTCCCATACAAACACACGAGCTGAATTTTGTTATACAGAACTGCAGCATCAGTGCTCTTGCTCATAAATTGAGTAGTCCAAGGACAATGAAATCATTGCCCTTGTGACATGAGCATGCTCCAAGTTCCACTTCTCTGCTCTTGCTTGCTACTAGCATTCTTGACAAATTAAGATGTAATCTTCTATCTTGCGACTCAGCATGTATCCTCAATGTTTGCTCTATTTCCTGAGATTTTAAAGGCAGAAATGCAATCAGGCAGACATGTGTATGTGTATCAGGTTTAATTCATTCTAGCACAAGTACTGAACTTGGTGTGAACAGACCTTTTATGGCTATGAAAAAAAAAGAAAGAGGAAGGGCATACTTTAGGAATGGGAACTTCTGTTACTCTAGATATTACTGAAAAAATTTCACAGATTTAAGTAAGATAATGAGATAGGAGTATCAAAAAACTATAGTTCAGCCATTTCTAGAGAGCTAATTTCTTTGCCATGATCTAGAGAGAAAAGGAGCTTTATATATAGGAGCACCTATTAACCTTTTCAACAAAAATTACTATTCTGGGAAATATTTATGGTTCTGCAGCTCTTGATACACAAAGCTTATTTATTTGTTCATTTAGCATTTTTGAAGTGACTCAAAATGTGGTAGATAACCTTGCATTCTTCTGTGCCAAATGAAAGATACAGCTTATGACATATAAAACTCGATATGGATTAGGGTCTTCCTAATTGAAAAAGCTTTCATTAGTAACTACCTGTGACCTACAAATAGTAAATAAGGGCTTTTTATCTTTACCACCAATGAAATATATCATTTTTCTGAAGCTTGTGACCAGAAGAAAGCATCAGTGGTATATATATATTACAATGTTATCATCAAGAGGATGACTCAATCCAATCACAGCATCATAAAATTTCTGCCACTACATACTTGCATCCATATGTCTCACACAACTATGTAATTTGCATCATTAGCATGATATGATTGTCATACACTTGTTATTATCTGTTCCCTTATTCTCCTGTGGACACCATCAATTAGCAAGACACTAAACCACATTTAGACTTAAGTCATCTTTTTATAGCCCTTAAAACACCTTAAAATCATAACTGTTAAAAACTGATGGTACATTTCTTGTGATTTTGAAGTGGAAACAGATCAAAACTATAGTCTAACCACTAGAATCAAAAGGATTTTGCAAACTGCGTAATATGATTCCTGATGCAGTGTGGAAAAAAACATTTAACAGGACTACTCACAAAGACTTTATTTGCTTATTAAAAACATTTATTTTTCAGTAACCTGAGTTTTAGCCAGCTAATAGCAAATAATAATTACCTTTTTATTCTAGAAAAAGGTTAACACTAATGAGCTGCATTTCCTGTTACCCCTAAAATATTTTAGGTTCATAGCACATTCAAAAGTTGCCACCAAATTTTAATTCTGACTATGCCAAGAAATTAATGTAATTAAATGTAAAAATAATTAGTCTATTTGCTGTATTAATTTATTCTATTGGTTCAGTCTCTTACTTCTAGCTTCACCTGTTTGGGGAGTACAGTCTTTGGGATATAATTAATATAGTTCTTGTTCAGGTACCCCTGCCCTACAGGCAGCAACTTTACTGTGTAAAAGTAACTGAGTGAATCAGCTCTTATGTTAAAACAGTGTGTTAACTTTACCCATTAGACAGATTAAGCAGCCAGACACAAAACGAATTTAGAGCTACTACAAATCAACTTTTACACGACTGTTTTTTTCAAGTATCTTCCCCCCACTATCTCCATTTTCTGTTTCAAGTAAGATCTGTAAGCCTACAATTGCTCCTCATTATGCAACCTTGAGGCACTTGTACAGTACAGGTACCGGAGTTATAAAAAAAGTGGAGGGAAATGCTGGAGCTCCTGTTCTCACTGTTGACCTACATATTGTAACTTAATTGCAAACTTCATTTTCTGATGTGTGCCAGGAGGGAGAACCTGGTGCTGATATGCTGTGTTGACTTGTTTAAAAGGGAATTGTTACTGAATGTTCCTGTCACCAACAAGACATTGTTCATAGGAAGATGTTCATCTCTGGGGAGTGTTCCGTGTATAAATTATTGAACAGCAGAAAAAGAAAGAGAGGAAAATTAATAAATGAAGGCATCTGACTTACGAGTACAGGGCATGGAGGCAGCATCGTTTTCTGCTCGGAAAAAGCCTGGATCACAGGTGCAAGAAGTGGAACCTTCCCAGATGGAGAAACTGTGAGGTGGGCACTTGGCACAGGCAACATCTGTTGAGAAGGCTTTGTGGTATCCAATCTTGCACGCTTAGAGAAGTGAAAGGGGAAAAAAGATTAGTTGGATAATAAATTGTTCTTTTATTTATTCATATGAGGATCCACAGACATTTTCAAAAGGAAATGAATAATTACCATTCAACCAGCCAAGTAATGAACTAGTTATCGTGTTCTTGATTGCAAGCTGCTCAACTGGGAGATACAATTTTAAATCCAATGAAAGCCTTTTGAACAAGCAGGCTTAGAATTAGACCTATAATCCTATATGTATAGAAATCTGATTGGAAAAAGAAATCTCATTTTGTTCTTTGCATAGAATGAAGATACTTTAAGAAAATGTTTTGAACAGTAGCCCACAAATGTGTATTTAAAAACAATTATAGGCAGAAATTAAAAATAAAAAATTATTCAACACTAAATGCCACTGAAAACAGAAAAAGCTATCTGTGAGGTTTTTATAAATGGCAAAGATCAAAAGAAGAGTAGATGTTTGCCAATATTTATAGCTCACTTTAGTGTTTTTAACTTTACCATCTGGTCCAGGTATCAATGATCTTTTTCAATCAAAATGGTCAAATTTTGACTAGATATGATAGGCATGACCAGGAAATGGCTGTCATGGAAGAGGTGTCATCACAAAACAATGAGTAAGCCAGTCATACACACCCTTTTAATATAAAATGAGTAGCCTCCCAAGATGGAGCCTTAGTGAGCTGAAAGGTATTCCTGAAAATCAACATGAAGCTAAGAAGCTAGTGCTTTGTTCTGTAACATGCCCATTTCCCATTATTTCCAGTCTTTTTTTAAAAAAAGCAAATCATCAGCAACCTAGAGTCATTATATGGGATAAGTAGCCATATAATAAATAAATGTCAGACCTTGAGGGAGGTATCTGGAGTCACACCAATGCTTAATACACCAACGTTGCCTCCCCTGGCTTAACTTGTCTTTAATCAATTCTTATTCTTGTGCTTCTATAACAATCAATATATACTTTCAGTTTTCCTCCTAGCGCTTTCTCATCTTATCATATCTTCTCTTGATTGTTTTACATTAAGTAAATTTCACTACCAAGGGGAACTTTAAATTCCTCTCTAGGGATTTGATTCCAGAATTTTCTCAGCACTCCCTTGCAACATTTATAAAAGAGCAAGTCACTTCAACTTTATTAAGAAAGCCATTTATAGAATCCCTTTAAGGAGTCTAACTTTACAAAGTTTGATGCAACATCCATAAAAAATAATATATTTTATTTGTTTACTTTGATGTTCATTGGACTAAAGTAACATAAAACAGACAACTCTAGAGACTTAAGATTTCTGCTTGCTTTAATTATTACATAATTAAATAGTGTTCAAGTTGCAAGATGAATTTTGGCTATGTTTCCAATAGTCATAGGGTATTTTATTTTATATACCAAGAAGAGATATCTTAGCTAAAATCTAAAAATCATTGGACTGAAACACATATATGAACAAAAAAATTGAAGGTTAATGTATAATTGAGACCAGAGATATTTTTGTTAAGGACGGTGGACCAAATTATGGAAAAATTGCACAGTATTTTGTTCTTATATGTGATAATGGCAGCAAGATTTCTATGTGTTCAACAATGGAAGGATTTGACAATACCTACAATGGAAGACTGCTTGTCATTTCTGATGGAGCTGGCAGAGATGGCAATATTAACTGTTCTGATTATACAAAAGACATTGGCAAAATTTAATATTAATTGGAAGCCTCTTCTGGACTTTTTGCAGAAAAGAAATGAAATTATGACATATGGATTTCGGTATTAAAAAAATTGTAGTTTATTCAAAATAGATGTGACATTGTAATTGTAGAGCAAGAGTTGAATTCAAGTTTTATTTATATCTGCTGTAAAGAAGTTGAAAGTTATTATTTGTGTGCATTTTTGTTTCTGTTTTATATTTTATTGCACCTCTATCTGCCTTTTCTCTATATATTCTGACTTCTATTCATTCTCTTGATTATTAATTTTCTATTAATTTTAAATTTTTAAAACTTAATAAAGTTATTTTTTTTAAAAAAGGTAATGCTGGATTTTGGCTAACTGTTAACATTTGTAGAAACTAGTATTATCAGCATCCCATTTTTTATCCAATTGCACAGAAAAACATAAAATGCCTCCTGTTGAACACGAATTGTTTCCAATAAGGGCAACTAAATGTCTCTGAGACATGCACATATAAGGCAAAAGAAAGTTATATCCAGAGTCAAAATAGTTCATATTCTGGACATAACCTATACAAAACATAAGATATAGTCTAGAAAACATAAGATGTAAATATGATAGATTAAACATTGTGAGATTAAATAGAAAATGTTATCCATCATGGAATTCAATTTCAAAACAAATCCACCTGACCACATCCAATGACTAAAGTATTTTTATGTGCCTAATGATTCTCTTGGAAAATAAAATTTATTACTGTAAATAGTATAATGTAGTCCATATCTATATCTTGAGCACATTATAATATTATATATATTTTACTGAACTGTTTTTTCAAAAGTTTTAAATAGAGCGTCTGTTATTTTTTTGTACAGAAATATGTAACTGAAGTGACTGCATATATTAAAATTCTAGTACTTATATATTCAGACCAAAAATGTATTTTCTACATTTGAACATTGTGGTTTTGAAGTCTGCAGCATAACATTTCCATATAGGCAGTTTGATACTCAAATTTTAAAAAAAATGACAGAAACCAAATAAGAAATCTAAGAGAGAAGTAATTTGAGGATGGAAACACTAGAAATCTGAGTCCTGTTTACTAATTTCTTGCTTTTTCCTAAAAACATCTTCCTTGCACTTAATATGCTTGAAAAGATCTGAACAAAAATGGTGCAAGGAATGTATCCATTTTCACATAGGAACTGGAATGTGCTTTTTTCTGCTTCTCTCATACTGTAATACATGCAGATCATGTTAATAAAAGAAAAAAGAAAAATGGAACAAAGCCATTTTTCAACAGAATGTACATTTTACCAAACATAGGTTTTTCATGCACATTATAGACTAATTTAAGCAGAAACACATTCAAGCTGATCTGTGACCAGAGCCCTTAAGTCACTTTGGAGCTTTGCCTGCTGTATTTCAGTCCAAGTGTTTTGAAAGGGCTGGGTCCAGCATTATTCTTTCTGGCTCAAGAGAACTCACATACCTATTCTTTGGAAAGCATTTTGCTTTTTCCTCTATATTAATCCCAGTTCATTAATTTTTTAGCACCCAAAAAAACTCTCTGAAACACTCTCTCCCTCCTTCCCTCCCTCCCTCCATCTCTCTCTTTCTTTCTCTCTCTCTCTCATGCAGCAGTTTTATTTTAACTGTGGAAAATCACAAAACCAAATGCACAATATCTTCATTTTCTTTATTCATGAATCCCAGTTCTTGGCATCTTACTCTATTTGCTAATCCACTACATTAATTCAACATTTCTTTACATTTTAACAGACTTTTATGCCACAATTTAATCTTATTCTTTGAAAGGTCCCCCTCCTTCTCTTTTTCTGACATAGAAAAACAGCTAAGGTCTTTCAAATGAAACAAACGTAAGTTATTATACAGTATTTTTGCATGTTAATAAAGTGATAAAAAGCAAAGCTGCATAGATCCCAATTTCCTGAAATCTTTATTGAACATTCAAGACATTTTTTTTCCTTCTTTTCTTTTTCTTGGGAGGATTTTCTGGAGAAGACAGTGCGTGAATGGCATCCTTCCATGGCTTACAGAAAGATGTATTCTTATACAGATTGCAAAAGATGCCATTGTAAAAAGATTAGGTCACATGAGCAATGCAAACTTTGAATTCAATTCCCTTAGCTTTGCCTTAATTAGTTCTTTCTGTTTGAAAGACACAGAGAGTGAACGGGGCCAAGGGGAAACAATTTTTTTATTCAGATCACACACTGACATGACAAGGTTATTGTGAAAATATAATTGTCTTCAGGATTTCATAATGGAAGTACTAAATCAAAGAAAAACAAAACCCTAACACCTGTGCAGACCCCCTGATCTCTCTCAGCATATAATTTTATTACACACAAAATCTTTTTTCCAATAAAACAATTAATGCACTTTATTCTAGGCTACACTGTAGGCCAGTTGTTGGGATTCTGTTGCCTCTCAGGGCAGTCACATCAACACAATGACTTCAGTTTCAAATACAGTTATACACAGATATGATGCTGTGTGACAATATGCGTCTCTTGAGCCAATGTAGTATATGGGAAGCATATAAGAATATACTTTCCCAGTGACTCTAAGAAAGTAAGCGAAGGCATTTGAACAATAGACACTGGGATATATCATCACATGGGGATTAAACAGTCATTAAAAACAATAGTACACAATTAAAGCAAGTAATAAAAAAACAAATGTTACAGTGAATTTGTAGCTGAAGAAGGCTAGCATTAAAATATGTCTTTTTTAAAGAGATCTCAAATACACCAGTATTTAAAAGATGATTGGAACTGGTATATTTTAAAGAAAGATATATTTACATGAAGATATAGAGAGGTAGTATACATATTTTGGGTGAGCTCTGTTTCATAAACATGACATGAAAGCTACTTTGTCTTCCCAAAGGTTTAAGTGTCTATATCTTAGTTTTGAAAATGCCATGCACAGTATGCATAACTGTCAGAAATAATATAGCATATGAAAATGAGAAAAAAGTATCAAGTAACCTACTTGCTCTCAATTGTCTGAAGACAAAAATGACAATATATTATTATTATCATTTTAAAGACCAAAACTTCTTTGGCACTGTGTTGTTGAATTTTAATTTGATGATTTTTTTAAAACAATATCAGTAGTACCTGTTTTTTCCTCTCTCTTTTTACAGATTCTCAAATTATAAAACACTCACATCTGCCACCCCTAAGCAAAGAGCTGCTTCTTAATTCGGTGGAGGGTTTTGGTGTTTTAGAGTTTTTTTTGTTTTTTTGTCTCTTAACAGATTTATTGGATGTTAATTATACAACTCGATTATTTGTTTTCCTGCA